CAGAGACTCAACCAATCGCATACGCAGCTCCTCTGATATGAAGGGTCTGATTCTATAAAGTACTTTAAGTCTATAAAAACAGTTTTGCACAGTGCTAGCTATGTGACCCTCATATCGTAAGGATGCATCAAAATGAAGCCCCAGATTACGAGCAGCTTTAACCCTCTGAATAGGTTCACTCATCAATTTGACATCAAATGTGTCCGGTAACTGGTGCAGTGCCTTTGAAGTACCAAGTAAAAAATATTTTGTTTTTGAGGGATTGAGAACTAAGCAATTATTTTTGGACCACATGGCTACGTTACTTAAATCTTCATTAAGATCTCTCACCCCAACTGCATAATCTTTCGGCCTAAAAGAAATATATACCTGAACATCATCCGCATAGATGTGATACCGACACTTTTTAAAGCAATCTGTTATATCCGCACAGTTCAGAATAAACAAGATTGGACCCAATATCGAACCCTGAGGAACGCCTCTAGCAATGAGTTTGGGAGTTGAAGTTAAGTGATTTCCACCAATCCTGTTTAGTCTTACGGACTGCTTGATTAGACAGGTAGCTCCGGAACCACAGCCGCATGTAACTGTCAAATCCATAATATTTCATTTTAGTAATGTGTAAATCAATATTAATTGCATCGAAAGCGCGGGAGTAGTCTTACAGAACCAGCAGTGTGTACATACCCTTATCTTGATCCGCCAAGACGTTGTCAGTTACATCAATTAATGCAGTTGCCGTACTACGTCCCTTCCTATAACCAGATTGCAATGCAGGTAAAATTCCATTCGCCTCCAAGAACTCTGTTAGTTGTAAATATACAACCCTCTCAAGTACCTTAGAAAGGCAGGGTAATATGCTGATCGGACGAAGGTCTTTTAGTTCTAAGGGGTTAGAGATTTTGGGCAATGGAAGGGCAGTGGCCATCTTCCACAACTCAGGAAACGTGGACGTTTCAATTGATTTATTTATTATGGCTGTGATGATATCCAATGTGCAAGGCAAGGTCAACATTAACATTTTGAGAGAGATCCCATCACAGCCCTCGGCATTGGATCCAAGTTTGCGGATAACCTGCAAAACAAAGTCAATTTATTATCAATTAAATGTCAATTTATCTAGCAAATACTTCGGATTTTTTACCTTTATTATATCAAACATTAACATGCCCAGATGTAGGTAACGGCGCGACTCCCATATTCAACATTGAGGCGTTATTTATAATTGGCGAGACATGAGTACGCGGTGGGACATTTGATTCGTGTAAAATTTATTCTTGACTCCATTCTTGGACAATCACAAGCTCAAGATTAAGCTTAGCGATCAGCTCATTGGCATCGTAGTCTGAGGCCTGAGAAAAAATTTCCACTTCGTCTGCATATAAATGATATTGACACGAGAAAAGAGAGGAGAACGAATGTTCTAGTAGAAGCTCTTCAAAGTCTGACTTATAAAGATACAGAAAAATTATTGAATGTTATAAAAAGTGTAGTAAAAATAATTTAGAATATTTTTTATAACATTTTAAATGTCAGTTTTAGTAATACTTTTTTCGTATAAAAATTACTTTTGTTTCCATTGTAAAATGATAGTGATTAGTAGAAAAAATATTTTTCTCTATTTTTTATGCATTATGATTGTTTTTATTTAGATTATTTAATGTGCCTTTCGTATTGCCTGACAAACAGATTCATCTGGTTCAGGCACATAAAGTGTTTTTTCCTTTACAAATATGTCTAGCATTAGGTTTGTTGTAAATGTTTATAGATAATTGAATAAATTTTATTATTATTATATTATACCGTAGGTAAGGGTAGTGTAAAAACAAACACTTTCATTTCATTAGAATCGATCCTAAGATTTTAATAACTATACGCTGAGATAAAAATGAGCTCAGATATTTGAAAGGTTGTGCCTTCAAAACAATAATTACAGAAACCGACCATTGTTTTAAAATTTAATATTGGTTTTTCTAAAGGTTTCAGTTTTTGGCTTGCAGTAGGTCAACGAAAATAAAAATATTCTTTGAATTCATGCTCGCCTAGACAAGATCGGAAGTTTTGTTAGATGTGTTTAAGCCGAATCAACTTTGGAAACCTCTAATATAAGCTAATTAATTAACTTGTACATGTAAAATGAAAATGAAATGAATCAGATTGCAAACTCATTTAACTTGATATAACTGTCAGATTATGTAAACGATATTTAAGATTATTTTTTTTTTATGTATGTGCATAGCTTATGTTGTAATTTATTTGCCATTCCTAGAGGTAATTATTGAAACATTAATTTTGTTCCTGTCATTAGATCAAAAAATAAACTTTAATGAATGTATAATTTTGTTTCTTATCTTATAAGACATTTTGTTTGTTTACAAGTTGTAAACAACATTTAATAATGTCCTGAGTTTGTTTATGATTTAATGAGTTTATAGTATGTATTGTGTAATTACCATTCCTGATTATGTATTTAATTATTAATTTTTAACTTGTTGAGGAATGTATAAATTTATTTGTAAGTGAAAACATTTCATTCAACAACATTATCTGTACTTAAAATTGAAGTTTGGAAAATGATATAATGATTCTATCAGCGGTTTTATTGAGGCGGGTCAGTAAAATTTGGAGAACTGGTGAAAAAACAGGAAGGACGCCCATAAAAAAATCTACTCAATAAAAGATTAATGTAAGTACACCGATTAAACAGTGTTAATTTTTTAATAACCAAAGAGACTCCATAGGTCAGTCATAGTATCCTTTAAATAGTGCAACAGTTTTGTATATGAAATATTTTTACAGACATAGATTCATGGCCAAAGAACTAAAAAGTATTTTATAAAGACACTTCATGGATTCAAATGATACAAGCAAAAGGATTGTTATCATCATCATCAGCCCATATTCGAATGGCGGAGTTATGATAATGTCCTTTTGTATATACTTATTCAGACACTTACATAATAAGCCAAGAATAAGAACCTTATCTCCTTAAGGAAAATAATGTTCACTTTGTCTTGGCTAGAATAAATACCAACGGGCTACATTATAACAAAAAAAAAAATACCACGTTACGAGATAAGGCCTAAAAGATTTTCGGCTATTGTTTTCGCAAACTGCATTGTTAGTTTAAATGCAACCACCGTCCTGGGTACACGTTTCGGTTGTGACCAAGTGTCTACTTATTTAAGTTTTTAAAATAATAATTATAAACGGCGCGTGTCGTAGTTTTGTGTTATTGAAGTCTTGAGGGTTTGTATTTTTTTAATTATTTGATGTTATTGGCTTCAATTATAGATAAAATAATAGATTAGTTTTATTTAATTCTTGAATTTGCGATATCTTTATAATAAGGACATCGTATTATTTTATAAAAGTGATAAATAATGATATGAAATAAATAGATATACATTTTAAGATGCAATAACATGAATTTGTCCTGAAATATCATTTTGAAATAAATATATTTTTGAATTTTAATTCTAAGAACAGTTATCACGGAAATAAAAAGTGTACCAAATTTTAACTCACGAGTGACAAGACCTGACAGATGAAGACATATCAGATAAGACTTTAAACTAAAAATATTCGAATGCGGTTACAGTCTGTACTTCTTAATATACATATGGCATTTTATTTTATATTAGCTGTATTCGCGACTTTGCCCGCATAAATTATGATACATTTTTTGATATAGCATAATTGTTTCAGAGCCTATTCAGTGCAAACAAACAATCAAGTATTTCCTCTTTAAAATATTGAAATAGACGTCATCTATAAGAAAGATAAATAATCGTGTAAAATGTTTACACCATGTTTTATGTAATACGCCAGTTTCAAGATTTTTTAGAAAAAAGAGACCTATGTACAAAATTTACTTTTCTATATTTTGTTTAGTCTCGGTGTTTCTGGGACCATCGTTGTTTCAGATTTTCATTATACAAGATCTTGCTAGTTTGGGATATAAATATATGATATTGTGTACCTTATATTTATGTATAGTAATATTATAAAGAGGAAATATTTTATTGTTTGTTTGTTTATTGAATAGAAAGTCGCGGTAGAAAGTCCTCATAACAATTTTCTAATCGTAAATTAATTGTATAAAAATGGAAACTACCGAAGTAGTTGTCGATTTATACGTAGCACAATTTTTTTCCTGAATTCCCCGGGTGCCTGAGTTTCTATCACAATTCCTGGTATTTCTATAATTTATTTGTTGGGTGTTGTATCCCGTGTTGCATTGTAAATGTTTTTAAAACGTATTTTGATGTTACCATGACTTTAATTACTTTACAGTTATAATAACGCGACGTCTACACCTCAGAATGTCATCATTCGCTAATACACAATCGCTGGCATCAAATCTGCCGATCACCTTGGCAGCTACGAATAGCGCCGCATCCAGCGACGGCTCCAACGAACCGGAGCAGTCACTCACCAAGTCACCTTGTTCTGAGATCAGCGCATTGCCCTCCAACAGAGGCACGCCAAATTCCATGAACACTACACACTGTGATTTTGTAACGGAAAAAAATAACAACAGTAACCAGGACATGCCTCCAAAAAAAGATACCTCTAACGGCTCCACTAGCACATCCTCTACAGTGTCCATGATCTGTTTTCACTGCGTACAATGCTTACCAACAGTACGTTGTCTCAAATGCAAAGCTCTTTTTTGTGACGATTGTAGCCCCAAACTAAAATCAGACGCCCAGTTGCGAGAACACGATCTTTACCCAATATATCAACTACCGCCTATTGGTGTCAGGCCTCATTCTATCAACATGATTTGTGAATCCCATGGTGATTTAATGAGTTATTATTGTAAAGAATGCACCATTTTTATTTGCATAGAATGTACATTATCATTTCATAAGGAGCATAAGTATACGTCGATAAAAGGTGCTTTTGATATATGTCGCGTAGATCTTATTAAGGCAATAGAATGTACGAGAACTGGCAAGAAAATAATGAACATTGCAATCGACCGTGCAAATACCATGTCAAAAACTTACAACAAAGAATGTTCCGAAGTGAAGGAGAAAATAGATACTACTATGCAGCTGTATACTCAAGCCGTACAAAATCGTGAAACATATTTTTTGGAGAAGGTTGAGAACTTGCGTAAGTCGAAGATAAACGAATTGAATCAATATATGAATACACTGCGTGGTATGCTCGCTGGTTTATCTCATATAAGTGAATTGATAATACATAGCATAGATTCCGACGGAATAAATTTGTTTAATATTAAAGAAAAGGCCAAATATGAGGTAAATTTATTTTCAGCTATGTTCAAGAATATGCAGGTGAAGAAGGAGAGAATTTTGTATAGTACCCCGAACTATAACTTAATAAACCAATTAGGGCATTGTGATGTACAACGGATTTACCCGACTTCTGGTCAAATATACAACTCTGTTTCCCAACAAACTTTAATACCAATGCAGTCCTTGCTGGCAGGTCAATTAACAATTTGTCCTCCACGCAGTATTGGACAAGCCATTCCAGGTTATCGGAAGTCGGTATCCGTAAAGCCAACTAGTAGCTTACGCCTTGGAGAGCCTATGTTTTCTTTTGGTCGTGAGGGACCAAACGAAGCCGAAATTGCTAGACCGTGGGGTTTATGTGTAGATAGAGAAGGCAATGTCATAGTTGCCGATAGACGTAATGACCGTATTCAAATATTCAGTAAGGATGGTGAATTTAAAAGCATGTTCGGTTCTAAAGGCGATGGCCCTGGTCAATTTGACCTCCCATCTGGTATTACAACTGACATATTTGACAGAATTATTGTTGCAGATAAGGATAACCACAGAATCCAAATATTTACAATGGTAGGAAAGTACATCCTCGAGTTTGGGTCATTTGGTAAAAAATGTGGAGAGTTTCATTACCCATGGGATGTAGCTACAAATACCTTAGGAAATATTGTTGTGACTGACACGCGTAATCACCGAATTCAACTATTTACAACCAACGGGACTTACATCACCCAATATGTATTTGAGAGTCTTCACTCAACCACAATGTTGAGGGGTCCAACAATTCCGAGAGGTGTGAGCTTCACAACGTTTGGCAACATAGTAGTAACCGATTTTGAGAACAATCGTATAATAATGTTAGATTCAACTCTATCAAAAGTTCTACATTGTGCAGAGTCTGAAGGTTTCGGTACTAATGAACTAAATCGTCCATCAGGCGTTGCGATCGATGATGAAGGTCGGATTATTGTAGCAGATTCAAAAAATTATCGTATAGTCCTGTTTACTTCGCAACTCCGTCGCCTGTCTACTGTGAACTTCAAGAGTACAGACTTCGACAAAGACAGACCGAGTGACGTAGCCCTAACTATGGAGGGTTATTTAGTGGTATTATTTGAATCTCGGTCCTTTCCAGACACGGCTTACAATATCTCTACTAACTTTTCCCCGGATTTCTCGTGCAAGCGTTACATCAAAGTATATTCATAAGTTCACAATTAATTATTAGGTCTAAGATCCGTAATATATTTTTATTAAGTTTTTATATATTTAGTTAAATGCATTTTTTTTATGTTTGGCATGAATAATTCCAATAGAGCATAGCTTGGTTGCAGAAGGTGCATTTAATTTCTTTGTGTTACCATAATATCTTACTGTTTCAGTTTTCAAAGACCATACTTTCCAAATTCAATTTGTATAGTACTAGAGCACCATACAATTTTGAGAGCTACGTCACGTCTTTCATCAGAAAAGATCGAATAACTCTTACCTTAAATTTATTTATCAAATAGGTACTTTAATATAACGTCGATTATACCTTAGGTTTACTATTTATCAATTTTTTTTTTTCAATACATATCTGTAATATTAACTAAAAAATAAGCTTTTCTATCATCTTCTATCAAAGACAAATATTTTATAAAATGTTCTTATAAATTAATTAAGTATAAAAAAAATTACTGCCAACAATAATAACTTACTTTTCTACATATTTATTTGTTTAACCATAACGGATCAGTAATCAGATTCCCCTGTAAGCAATGTTATCATTGTAAGGTACTACATCTTGATTTTTTTTAAATAATTTTATAAATTTGTATGAAAGCTAATTAAATGAACTTTAGAAAAAGTAATTTTTGTTTATTTCAACATCTCTATTGTACATTTCATATTTTCGCACAGGTATGTACTTACATTACGACATTACAGAGTCATTCATTACCTACCTACTTATAAATATGCATTACTTACTGGGTATTTTCCTGAGACTTCGGCCGCGTAAATTATAGCTTTTGTACGCTGCGTATGATGTAGTTCCCGTAGGTGAAAGAATTTTCTTTATTGGATTAGTATTTCCGAAGATTACCCCACCCCTACAAACAAACAAAGTTAAATACTTAAGTCTATAATATTAGGAAAGATGATTATTAACTTCACGGACATCGCAGTATAGGTAAATGGCAATCAGTTTTATCCGAACTTCGAATACGATATTAACAACAATTAAAAATCTTGAAAATAAATCTGAAAATACACTTAACGGCTGGTATACACGTAATTAAGTAGATTTTTTTACTTAATATTAAGTGATTAACTACATGTAAACACGCAAACAATTAATAAGTTTAATAAATTAATTAAATTTAGTTAACCAGTTATTTAACTTGCTACTTATTCATTATTAAAAAATATATATATTTACTAATTATCTACTTCATTACGTGTTTACGATATGTCTCAGTAAGTACAAAGTTTAACATACGAAACCCTTTTCCTTTCGGTGACCGTCCCATAGCTCTATGTTTCACAAGTTAAAGCGTTTTGGGATCAACCATCTCGACAATTTCATGAACCCATTAAAGTCTCCCCTGTTCGGGCACAGGCCTCCTTTGTTGATTGAATCTAATAGAATAGAATTGACTACAACTCACTAAGCAAGCCATGAAGCAGGACCATAATATTGTTTTTAGTCATTCGTCTTATATAAGTAAAACTACTTTTAAATGGTTTTATTTTGTGTGTTATTGAAAAATGTTACATAAATATTACATATCTTTTATACATATATTACATCTATCTATTCAAATGCCCCTCAACATTTACTTATAGACTTAATTTTAAAAATTATTATGCGTAAAATACACAGGTAAAATACAATGCATTAGGTTTTGTCTCATTAACACTGTAGGAGGGTTTAGCGCGTAGATCTCCTGATGAAGCGATATTTAAATAATTCTGATTGGTTGACATTTCCCGCATTAGTATGTTAATGAGTCATATTAACTGTATCTAATATATAATGTATTGAAGATTTTATTTTATTGAAATTCTAAAACTGAGACAGCGCTTCTTCAATTTATTCTTTAAAGAAGAGCACTTTATTTTTAGCCAAATTTAAATTACAAAAGTAGTTGTATAAACTAATTTCGATACATGTCAATTGATTTCGTAATGACGTGCTATCAGCGACAGTATCTCCGAGATACTGGCACTGCCAATATCGAAGCTTTGTTATGCAAAACTGCTAATATGTCTACATTCGTAGTCTGCATTCTCGTCGCTAGAAATCGACATTTGTATTTACTTATATAATCACAATGAGTATTAATTTCGTGGTTCTGAATAGATTTTGTACATCTGAAAATTACACGTGCCAACCCTAATCAAAGCATACCTCTATCTTACGGAACTTATTTGGAGTATTACTATCTCGCTCTAGAATCTACCTGATACTATAATAAATTAAAATTCCACGAGAGGAAAAGCGGCTACAAAACATTTGGTTTAGACTTTCCATATCAAATTGAATTGAAATGTTTAGTCAGTGGTTTATCAGTTCAAGTGCAACCATCATCACACGATACAACTGTGTTTCAATTATTTACGTGTTGTGTTACTTTTAATAAAAAAAAAAACAAACATAAATTCTGTGTGTGTCACACCTGTGTCTATAATCGAGTAAAAGTAATTATTTAAGCAAATATTTTTAACAAATAATAAAGTAACAAATGTTAACAGAAAGAATAAAATTATATTAAACTATTAACAGTTCTTATTTCATTCAAATTCTTGTCTATTGGTTAAAAATATCTGATTTTCGCAAGTAATTGTTTCCCTCGACTATATATACGAGTGTCACGGTCTTGTGTTCTTGAATTATCTTGGATGTACATATTTGTTTTATTCGATATTGTAAAAGGTTTCATTAAATAAGTTACATTAATTTCAAATTTATTTATTTATGTCCTTAATATAATATTAATATAGCGCTCGGCTCTCAGCCGTTAGGTTTTATTATGTTATTTGAAGATAACTCAAAAAAAAAAATACTATTTAGTTAATCAATCAAATACTTTAAAGTTGCTATAATTAACATGACGTTGACTTTCAAGTATTTGATTGACGTCAATGCGAAGCTGGTGCGATGACTTCATAGATGCAGGCGGAGGTGTTGACTCGATATTAATATAACATAAAATTAAAAGTAGATTTATTAGTTAGTAATTTTTAGACGTAAATTCTCGCTGTGGTCAGTTTTCTATGTCTTAATATAATTTTACTTTTAAATTTTGTAAATAATATTATTAAACACATAATTATTCCTTGTTTTTTGATTTTATAATTAGCTCAGTTAACTACGGCACTTAAATAGTGCCGTAGTTAACTGACCTAAGTTAGTAATAATAGCCTAGTTCATTAGTAGGTGTTTCGTGGGTGAAATCGTACAAATTATATAATGTAAAAGAATATTCTATAAATATAGTTTGAGCATAGGTAAACTTACTAAAAATGTAAATTAAAGCGCGTTTCTTTACCTTAATAAAACATAACTTTAAATACAATATTTATAATCGTTGTTTCCTAATTTAAATTGTATAACAAGGTAAGTTAATAACGGCACTAGATCATTTAATACTTAAAGTTAAAATAATCATACTTTTAATTTGGTAGGACTAAATTAAATAAATCTGAAAGTTAGACATGTTATTTTTTTAATTTTTGCTCTGTATATTTTTTACTTCCTTTTTAGTTAAGTTTATAATGTTAATTGCTGTAGTACTAACTGTTTATTTTTTCAATTTGCTTTAGTTTTAATTAATAATATTTAAATTTAATGTATTGTATTATAACAATAAATGCTCGGAGATTTGTTTAGTAAGGCTATGTGAAATTGATTCTATCTAATGCAAAGATTAATATAATTAATATAAAATAAACTAATTTTCCTTTTATTATCAATAATATTTCTTATGACCTTTACGAAGGGCAATACGGAACAACCCAAAGATTACCTAGTAGACTAGAAGGCCTGTGTCCCAGCAAACAGCTGGAAGCCTACTCTAATTCACCGAAAAACGAAATATCGTTCGAAACTTCGGACGTTTCCTACCACAATTACATTCGTTCCGAATATTCAACGAACAAAAATGTTTGACATATTTATTTTCTAAACCTACTCTATTTCACGAAATGACAAAACGAACATTTGAGATTGACATCTAATTGTTCGGAAATCTTACCTCAAATTGACGAAGTAAAAAATGTTACCTTTTCATTTTCGTTAGCAATTTTTTATTTTCGAAATGGGGTCTATATTACTATTAATCGAGTCAGTTCTCAGTAAAGAACGATTAGACCGTAGAAGAAATCGGCAGCGGCTTCGAAATAGCCTTAATATAACAAATATTCCCAACACTGAGTTTGTAAGTAATTACAGACTCAGTTGTGAATTATTTCAAGAACTATGCCAAGAGATTATACCTTTCGATCGAGTCCACAATTAAACTTGGAAGATATTTTATCGTAGTTCTTGATAAAAAAAATTGCATGCCTACTATTATGCATTTCATATTTTTATGATTCTTACAGCGTTGAATTTTTATGCCCGAGGTAGTTACCAAGGATTCGTATCTCAAAACATGGATGGGCCTATGGCCCAACAAACAGTTGCACGGTGTTAGGAGGTTAGGACTGTCCTCAATTCTCCAGATAGGTATTATAAGAAAATATATTATTCCCTCAAAACCAAAATGAAAGGAATCTTATTAAGAGACAGTGAGTACCTAATAGTTTATTGTTTATTTTGGCTTTATGTATGAATTGTGAATAAATACCTATAGAATTATGTCACTAATATTACAGATTTTACGAGGCATATAGGCTATGGCATTATACCTGAAAAATATGACTGATAAAAAGTAAATTTATTACTAAAAACCTTTTTTTGTGCCGAAAAACTAAATATTAGTTTCATACTTACTTATAAAGTTTTTTACTGAATTGTCTAGATAAATTTCGGAACTCACAATAATTAAATAAAATATTAGTAAACACTGAACAGTTTGGTGAAAACTTGTAAAACTTTTGGCGGGATGAGAATCGTTTGTATTATACGGATATTTAAGATTGCCATACGTTGATTATATCCATCGTATAAATGAAAGGTTGTTTTTAAATATGTCGGTTAATACTGTGGATAAAACGTCCTT